TATACAACAAGTAGGCCGTATGGGCGCGTGTGCGCGTCACGGTAATAGAGATGTAGAGTACTGATTTACGTATACACTACGGATACCACGCACCCCCATATATATATAATATATAATATATATAATATATTTGTATGTTTTATATATTAAAGTCACTATGATTTGCTACGTGTGAGTGCAGGCGTTTATGTGTGTGTGTGTGTGTGTGTGTGTGTGTGTGTGTGTGTGGTGTGTGTGTGTGTGTGTGTGTGTGTGTGTGTGTGTGCGTGCGTGCGTGCGTGTATTTTGAAAGCGCAGAGAAGAAAGAAATCGATTACTCGCTATGCAAACATTCGGCACGTGCCTCCCCCACTCTCTCTGTCTCTTAGGCTTTCTCTGTCTCTTAGGCTTTCTCTGTTCGCACGCACGAACGCACGCACGCATGCACACGCACGCACGCGCGCGCACGCACACACACACACACACACACACATAGCAAGCATTAATGCTCGCTGTCGCTCTCGCAGTGCCGACGGAAACTACCAGGTGACGCTGATGACGAAGGCGACGATCTTTCCGAGCGGTCTCGTCGTCTGGGAGCCGCCGGCGATCTACAAGAGCTACTGTCCGATCAACGTCGAGTTCTTCCCGTTCGACAATCAGACGTGTCACATGAAGTTCGGCTCGTGGACGTACAATGGCGGCCAGGTGGACATCAGTCACCTGCAGCGCGACACGAACAACACGCCCGAGCTGATGCGAGGCTGCGCGAAGCGAAACAGCTCCGAAGTCGGACACGTGCAGGGCCCGACGGCCGTGCAGCGGTACAGCGAGCCGGAGCACACCGACGGTATCAACCTGGAGGAGTACTGTCCGAGCGTCGAGTGGGACGTGCTGCGCGTGCCGGCGATCAAGTCGCTCATCATCTATCCGTGCTGCCCGGAGCCGTTCATCGACATCACGTTCAACATCGAGCTACGCCGCAAGACGCTCTTCTACACCGTCAATCTCATCATACCGTGCGTGTCGCTGTCGTTCCTCACCGTCTGCACGTTCTACTTGCCGTCGGACAGCGGCGAGAAAATCTCGCTGAGCATCTCGATTCTCGTCAGCTTGACCGTCTACTTCCTGCTGCTGTCGGAAACGATACCACCGACGTCGCTCAGTGTGCCGCTCATCGGCAAGTACCTGCTCTTCACGATGATACTGGTCACGCTGTCCGTCTGCGTGACGGTGTACGTGCTGAACGTGCACTACCGCACGCCGGCGACGCACACGATGCCGCCGTGGGTGCACCGCGTCTTTCTCGAGGTGCTGCCGCGCCTGCTCTGGATGCGTCGGCCGAGGTTCCAGCGCGAGCAGACGTTCATCGCCGTGCAGGAGTGCAGCAAGCGCTTCTCGGGCGTCTTCGTCAACGACCTGCCAGCCGACGGCGGCGGGGGAGGAGCGGAGGGAGGCGGAGTGGGAGTGGGAGGGCGGACGTCGCGGCGGGAGGGCAGCGGCGGTGTGTTCCGGTCGCCGCGACGGCCGCCATATTCGCCGGATGTGACGCGCGCGATGGCCGGAGTTCAGCACATTGCCGAGCATCTGCAGCGGGACGACGAAGTGATGGCGGTGAGTGACGGCACATACGCGTGCATGCACGCGCGTACTCGCGCGCGCACACACACGCACGCACGTATGCATGCGCGCACGCACGTACATATGCACGAACGAGCGTAATGAATTCACACATGCGATCACACACGGCTGTGATGCACGCGGCGGCACGCTTGCGCAAAAATCAGAATCTTACACGAGTTTAATCTTAAATATTTAATCTAAACGGACCAATTTTTATTTATTTGTTAGGAATTCTAACGTATCGTTCTGTATGCGCGGAATCCACCCACGCCCATCCATCTCTGTTCTAGACAGCGCAATGAAAATATCCGATGTATTCCGCTATGCGGCTTACACATTGCCTCACGTCATGTATACCTAAAACGTGAACTCTTTTTCTTACGACTTCAGATTCGAGAGGACTGGAAGTACGTTGCCATGGTGCTGGACCGCTTGTTCCTCTGCTGCTTCTCGTCTGCCTGCGTCATCGGCACGCTGGGTATTGTCCTGCAGGCTCCAACGATTTTTGATGACAGGCCTCCTCTTCCAGACACAGTGTTCACATTCTAATATAACAATGGGTGTGCGCAATAACGACCCAAGACCAAAGAACCGCGGCGTCGTTGTACGCTCCGGCGACACCCGCAAAGTCGGCGTTTACTGCTAATAATATTAATGTAAAGTAGATTTTGTAACTCGGTATATGTCATCTTAATGATTTGTCACTGTTGCCATAGCGACGACAGTTCCTTTTTAAGCGTGAACGCTCCCTGTAAATGTGCCAGATACCGACCCAAGATGGCGGCGTTTGTCGTGGTATAGCGTGCCGTCATCATCCGTTAGCTGAATATAATCGCACAGAAAGAGCAAGCAAGTGGGTACTGCAGACCTCATGCAGTTCAAGTCGGTGTCAGTTCATCTTCGGGAAAATGAAGATAATAACCCGTTGAAAATTAAGCTGCTCTCTCCTGTTGTGAATATGGTGCCACCGGTTCCTAGACTAGGCCCACGTTAGACCTGTCATTATGCTGGTAGTAGCCTATATGCTGCCATATATGCTGATAATCTGGTGATGACATTTCAACGTGCTCTACTGGCTATCAAATCCATGACCTTAAGGCTATTGCCGTGTGCAGTGAGCCTGCCTATACAGAAGGAATACGGTTTATGCTTATAAGAACGGCTATTATTTTATTCTCAATTAGCTAGGACGTCAGTGTTGTATAAAGGCTACAGGTTTCGACGGAGATGCGTAGAAGTAGAGTTACACGAATGTAAAGAGAAGAAACATACGGACATCGATAAACGCCACATAAATCATGAATCCTCACACGAATGAATCCCATCTGACGTCACTCCACAACATGCCCGCAGTCGCAGGCTCGCTCCTCTGCTGTGCAGCCTGAGAACGTAACTAACAAACGGTGGTCTTTAATTTGGAGGTTTGTCTCCTCGGTCCCACAGTTCATGATTCCACCGAGATTAGCAGACGGCCTCGTACATTTCCGTCTCGGCCGCCACGCAGCGCCTACGTACGCACCGGCAAACATGGCGGCAGGCACCTGCTGCCGAGCGTGGCTTCTGATAAGTTAACTGACACTGGCGCCTGTAAGCGGCCTCGTTAAGCGGCGGCTTCATTACCTTCGGTCTGTTACCTGCTGGCAAGAATTTTCGCCGTCCATCCCACCAGATGCAAATGAGATGCGTTTACTAATGCACCTTCTACACTCGCAGTTACCTATTATACCTATATACCTATTATATATAGATATATACATTAACTCTGGACAAGAGCCATGGGACTGCCTGGAATATGAGTATATTTACGGGCTGTATGATAAAGCTAATTTGCTTATAACTCGCTGTAAATATAGTTCCGTTTGCAACTTTTAACAAGGCTTCAAACTTCGCGCCCTACGATTTTGCGCTCGTTCGCTCTCCGAAATGTATTATTTAATGGTGGCCTTAAAATAAATCGCGGGTGGGAATTTGGGAATGGTCTCGCTTTTGAATTGTTTTATAAGAGAAATAACTCCACTCGTCATAAGAATTACATTTTTCCACTTTCGTGAAACGTAGGCCTACTATATATAGGTAAATATTACCGCCTAATCAATGTTCGACTTTACGTATCAGCGACATATTTTGTAAGTGTTGAATATTTAGTCACCGTCTTTCTCAAAATGGATAACTTATGTATATAATATAACGTATCATACTCAATACAGACTACACAACTTGTTCCTACGTCTAACTAGTCAGGGCCAAGCTAAGTTGGTCTGGGCCAGGCCCTGGCCAGGCCCGCGCTAAATCGCAGCGCACAGACACAAAATACTTATTAACCACTGCGCATGCTCAGTTTAGTGTGTTACGTCACTCAGCAGACAGCAATGACGATTAAACAACAGCGCTACCTATGGCGTTACTAGGATTTATACTGTATTGTTCTAATGGCAGAAGAAGAATATTAACACGTGACCGGATACACAGCAGAAGCTGAAACCGTATAATCGAATCTGAGTATCCGCTTGTAATCCGCTTGCAATTTTGTCAGCAATGGAAGTGTAAATATGCAAATTTCCATGTCTGCCTTCCCACACGGTGGACCCCTTGGGAAGGAATGGATAGATTCCTTTGGCCTGATTGTAATCAGACTCTTTACCTCCCAGTTAGTACCTCTATCTGATTCTGCCATCATATTATGAACCAGGTCTATAGGACGGCCTGGCCCGGACTAGTTTTATGTAGGATCAAATTTGTAGTCTGTACGTAGTATCTATGTATTAAGTCACATGACACAAACTTGTCACTAAGTAGTGTAGTTACATGCATTTAAATTGTCGACCAATTAAATAGATTGTGTGCGAACAGTATGAACTGTAAATCACACAAGTAAATAAAGATATGTATATATGCATACAATCGTTATGAACGAATAAGTATGCCGGTTTACCCGCGTATATGTTTCACTGAAAATAGCGCCCACACGCGTACACGAACCCATGCACGCACGCACACGCATGCACGCGCGCACCCACCCATATATATATATATATATATAATAAAATTATATACCGCAGAATCTTCTTATCCCATACAAACCTCTCTGCGCTACAACCCCCACCGACCCTAGAATTTACTCTTACCTCAATCTCTTCTCGGACCACAATTCTCCCCACACCACAAGCCTTCTAATCTCAACAAGCTCCCAACGATGCACCCGTGTCCTACTACTCTTCATAGACCCACAAGATACTTTCGATAATCCCACAACACCACAACACAACAACACACCACCCAACTCACCACAACACACCACAACACACCACTCACCTCACCACAACACCACAACACACCACCCACCTCATCACAACATCACAACACACCACCTAACTAACCACAACATCACAACACACCTCCCAACTCACCACAACACCACCCAACTCACCACAACACCACAACACCACAACACACCACCCAACTCACCACCCACCTCATCACAACACCACAACATCACAATATCACAGCATCACAACGCCAGAACACTATAACGCCACCACACCCTACCCACTTCACCACCTCACCAAAACACCACAAAACACCACCCACCTCTCCACCTCACCAGAACACCAGTACACCCCACCCACCTCATCAACTCATCACAACTCCACCGCCCCCTTATTATTAACAGATCCACTAACAAGGTCACGTATACATCTCAGGAAAGAGAAAAATACAGACCCCCTTCCATGTTCGTTACGTAACGATTTATCAAAAACCATCGATATAATGCGTCGATGAGGCCTTGCAAGGCAATCTGTGTGTCTTGCGTGCTGGCCATACTCGAGCCTCTGTCGTGACGTCACGCTCGTTCGCCTGCCAGACTGCGCGTTTCGCGAGTTATTAACCCGCAAACCACGCCGGTACAGGATTCCAAGTGGTGGATGGGTTTAATCGGAATTTTAGCTAATGAATGGTTTATTGAAGTGTTCTTGAACGCGCGAGGCAGATGGCGGGCTAGCGGAAACAGTGAAACTCGCTAATAAAGAGCTTGCTGTAACTACACGCGACGCGTGTTGATGAGGTGCTTCAGCTTATATAGCTCTTTATTCACAAGCACTACTCACACACAAGCGCGCGCGCACACACACACACACACACACACACACACACACACACACACACACACACACACACTCATGCATGCACGCACACACACACACACACACACACACACACACACACACACAGAGAGAGAGAGAGAGAGAGAGAGAGAGAGAGAGAGAGAGAGAGAGAGAGAGAGAGAGAGAGAGAGACTCACAGGCGCACGCACACACAGGAAATCACGCAGTAATAATTGCGTTCAATAATGACTGCATGTCCATAGACAACAAACATGCGTCTAATAACGGGAAATTAGTGCATATGCGTATTTATGTCTCATCTCTGACTTCTGTCGTCAGAGAAACATCTAAACAACAACTATCAACGGTACCGTGAGATATGCAACATAGTTCCAATCCACTTAGCTTGGGAAATATCGTGGTTTGCTGGTGCGGAACAAGCCATGCAATAGAGCCCCCCGCTCGCTTATTCTCTTCTCTTCGTTTTCGTTCTTTAATGGTCCCACGCTCCGTTACTGGCACACACGCTATGCGCATCTACATCCATCAAACACAACTAACATAGCGACGAATAAATTACATTTTCTCAGATATTTTAAATGAAGACCTTGCATCGGCTAGGGATATGAATGGGTGGCGGGAGTCATTCGTCTGTTCTGACATCGAGCCGACGATCGATCGACCGACCGACCACGACGCGACCCGACCGACCGACCGACGAACCGGCCGCCGACCCGGAGCGAACCGAGCGACGGAGCCGACCGACCGGACGCACCGACACCGACCGACCGACCGACACCGACCGACCGACGACGACCGACGACCGACCGACCGACGAGTGCCGACCGAACCGAGCGACCGACGACCGCACGACCGACCCGACCAGACGAACCGACGACCGACCCGGACGACCGGACCGACGTACACGACCCGACACCGGACACCGAATCCCGACGCCGGCACACCGACCCGAGGGCGACGACCCGACCGACCGACGACGACCGACCGACCGAGGCACGCACGCGACAGCGCGACCCGACACCGGAGCGACGACCGACGACCTTGACGACGACGACCGAGCCGACGACCTCGACTCGACCGACCGACTACGACGACCGACCGACGACCGACGGACGGACCGACGACGACCGACGGACGACCGACGCACGACCGACGACGCCGGACCAACGATCCGATGCCGACGACGAACGACGACCGACGACCCCCCACCTCCCCCCGACTCGACCCGACCGACGACGACGACCTCGGACCGACCGAGCGCATGATTCATTCCGTTCATATGCGGTTCGCACTCGGCGCTTGCTCTCTCCGCAGTTCTTCTCGCGGCTTTTTAAGTGTTGCGATGCAGCCGCGCCACAGTGCCCCGGCTTGCGTCGCCCGACCCGATCAGATCGACCGTGTTGTCAATAGGATTGGCCAATGCGTCCGCCCCTTCTACGCCACGCTGAGAAAAAACTGATCTACAGAATTCGTCTCCAGTCGGCTCACGCAATGGCAAT